CAGAAAGAAAACAATTTAAATTTCCAGGATTATACTAAACAGAAGTGAAATCTGGCTACAGTGATTACATAAATATCAAGATCCCCATCTGACTGACAAAGGCTCTGTGCCTTCTTGTCATGGTGAAGCCTGCTACTATTCAGGATGATTTTGAGTATGTTTGGCTGATTCAAGAGATGTAGATTGATTTCCCTGTAATACACACTGAGCTTGTTGCCAATTTACATCTCAGATTTCTGGTCCCACAGATGCCGTTCTTAATTAAAGAAAATTCTGCAAAAAAAAAAAAAAAGACCTTTACAGCCTTGCTGGGATAAGAAAGATTAAGAGAATCCCATCACTCACTACTGAAATATGCAGCTCTTCCAGAATAAAGCATGGCAGCAATTTTAATCAGCACATAGATCAGCTCTTTAGAATTAGCAATAAAATAAAATGTCAAACTATAACACCACAGGGAACTGACAAAGACAAAATGTAACTCATTGCCACAATTATTTCACCAGAATCAAAACTATTAAATACTGATCCCAAATAGGATATATGAGAAGAGGAAAGAGGAAATATTGGGGAATAATATCAGCTTTCTGATCAGAAACATGTAGCAAGTAAGATAAGTACATTTTTTAGGAATTCCATTCAGCGAGATGACACAGGTCTGCAAGTGAGCGAGTCAGAAAGTGCTTTGAAATCACCCAAATTTGACTGAGGCCAGGATTTTATCTCTGCACTTCTCCTGGTGCCCTCAATTCTCATCCTAATTGCAGCTCTGTGCACTCAGCACCCTGCACTCACATCAATAACTCACCAGTGAACCAGCCAAGCACAGCAAACCCAAACTGGATCAATAGGATGGACTTCACAACTCTCTGTGTGTGTGTGTTTCTAAATTCTAATTAAAAGGCTCAAATTTCCAGTCATATATTTCATTCTCTGAAGGGTCTGGGTGTTTTCATATCTTTCTGATCATCACAACCAGACACACACACACACACACACACTATTTACTTAGGGATATATTTTTCCCATGACCTTACAGACTCACTTCTCTGTCATAGGGAGTTCATGGAAGGAAGTTAGTTAGAAGTTAAACATGAGGAAGTGCAATAAAGCCCATTTATCTCACAGGAGTTAAAAAATGAGTCCAACAGCACAGAACTATTATAGGGGAAAAAACTGGTTTTGAGCCTCTCTGCAGCCTCATAAAAATAGCCTGTGATTGTGCAGGGCAGATGTCCTCTCTCCTGTGCAGTGTCTGATCAGAGCCCTTTTGGACTTCAGTGAAATAATAATAATAAAAAAGCAAACGGAGGGCAATTTCCATGGAAACTTGGAAAGGGATATAACATTATTTGCCGTAAGCCTCAGACTGTGAATGGAAAATTTTCTAGTTTACACAGATCTCAGCTATTATTTTCTTTGCAGTGCAAACTTGGGCCAAATATTTTCTGTCATATTAAAGATGCAAACAGTCAGTTTTATTTTCTGTCCAGAACAACTGTGCACAAAAGCTTCAGAAGCGGCAGTAAAATGTCTTGATATTTATCTTTCCACGAATCCAAAACACATATTAGAAAAAAATGATAATTTGGGCTTCTTTTTTGCTGCTTCTCTTCAGAAAGTGAAAGCAGCTTAGAAAACATCTCCTGTTTATGTGTAATGTTACAGACAGTAGACAGCCAGAGCATTGGCAGATGTGCCCAATGTTAATGGGAGCTTAACTTACAAGAAAGTCCATTGTTGAAGCACATAAGATGACAGAAATGTACCAAAAGCACAGAGTTTACATTTGCATTTATATAATTAATGAAGTGGCTTTTATCTTACATGAGTTTCAGAACTCACTGTCTTGTTACTCTTCCCTCATCCAGCAGCAGGAATAATTGTGACAGTGCAGAAATTAACTTTGAGCAATACAAGACCAAATTCTGGAATTAAGCCTTGTGTGGGAATGAGAACAAAAGCGGCCTGTGAAACTTTTCTCCCCTAAAACCAGCTGTTCAGTTGGTGTAGTGTTGGAGCTCTGACAATAACAAGCCAGCTCAGGGGACACCTCTGCAAATCTGGTGCCTCACCTGTACTAGTCACAAGTAGGAAGAGTCCAGAGCTCTAATCTAAGCTAGTCTGGAGCATCTCTGCATGCCCAGACACGGGCACTGCACGGCCATTCCTGCCCCTTCCCACTCCAGGACATGTCCCCTGTAGCAAAGAACTTTTCTGTAGGAGATTTGTGTGGACTTCAGATCTTTAGGGCTGAAATGTGGGTACAGTTTGGGACCATATTTGTGCACATTTGAGTTGTCTTTAACTGAGATAATAAACACAGTGACAACATCAAACACACTCCTGAAGGATCGGTGCAGAGCAGTTGTGTGATAGAGACTGAGCTGGTCCTGCCCTGGGAATCCTGGCTATGCTTGAGAGAGTCATTGTTTAAGGCAAGGACTGCTTAATAAGGATTTGGTCTTTAACAGAGATTTCATCACAGGCTGACTGACTAAAGCCTTCTCTTCACACATTCACAAATGTCATTCAAAATGTCATGTTGATTTTATACCTGCCCGGCCAAGTGAGATGACAGAGCAAGTCAATCACCTGGCTTTGCAAACCTATTTCCCCTTTGACATCTTGAAAATTTTATTCACTCACTTGTAGGTCATGCAAAGAAAGAGGAAGCAGCATGACTCAGCTCCACACTACAATGGCTGGAGCAGATCCAGACCCAGCAATCCTTTGGGCTTTCCTTACCAAAACACAAAGCTGCAGCTGGGCTAATGTAAAGCATGCAGTGTTTGTGTAAGCAATGTTAGATGGGCAGCAGGCCAGCAGCACTCCTTAAGCAATGTGCTAGTTCTTTACATTGATGGCAAATTATCTTCTCAAGAGTTCAGAAGGGAACACAAAAAAAGCCAAAGGGCTCTGATTTAAAACAGTGCCTTACAGAAGACAAAATACTAAGGAGGAACAGCCTCCTGAGCTGTATTCTGTAGATGTGAATTTACATTGAAATCTAGTGGTTAATAATGTATTGATTTAGCAAGTTTCACATCATGCCATACTAGCAAATATTTTTGTATAATCTGTAGATCATGTAAGCCTTAAGAGACATAGGAATGCTACTGACCTTAAGGAATCCAGGAACTTTGAGTAAGTTTAAAGAACCCTGAGTCCCAGTGTTTTGTCTAAACTGCATCTAAAAATTAGCTACTCTAAAAATCCAGTGTCATCTAGAAATTAATCCTGATCCTCTACCAGTTTGTTAACACCTGATCCACAGATGTTTTTCATAAAGAGCATCCACATGGTGAGTTACAGCACAGTAAATAATGCACTGTAAACACACTTAACTTCACTGTGTAAACTCTGAGCAAAACTCATCAAGAACTTCAGTTCACTCCCCAATTGCTCAAGAAAGGATTTGATGGTGTTCTCAAAGCAATGTAACTCAGAGATAAAGACCTCAAATCTAAACCTGTCTCTCAGAACAATGATGTACATTCTAGCCCAGCTCTGGGCAGAGGGATGGATCTGTCATTTCAGGCACTGCATTCACTGGGGGGAATCACACACCAGTCATTACTGACAGAAATGTGTGATGAACGTGAGAAAGAGGCACCATCCCAGATATTTCTCTGAAATGGCCCTCACCTTCCTACCAAAGGAGGGCAAACCAAAGATTTACTTGCCAAAAGCAGCTCTCTGGGCTGTGTTTGTAAGGGGGGTGACAGAGCAGTGTCAGAACCTGCCTCACACCCCAACCAACCTCATGCTGTGTTACAGGATGAAAGGCCAAGTGGCTTCTGGGCTCTGTTAACTTCAAAAGATGGTTCATTGAGCAGAATTCATGCTTAACAGCTTTTTTCCTTATTCCTCCCCAAAATGTTTTGGGCATTGCCCTATGTTTGTACTACAAAACTTGCAGTTATCCAAAACCAGTTCATGTGAAATGAACGGAAACATCTCTTTTCATTCCAAAGGAAAAACAACTCCTATGCTGTTTTCCTAAGTGAGCTGAAAACTTGGAGAGAAAACTAAAGCTAAAAAAAGCAAAGAACTCAAAAAGATTCATATTCTGGACTGTGGTTTCTGTTGCCTCAGCTCAAGGGAAAATATGTTCATGGGAAAAGGGCCTGCCTGGAGCCAGATTTTTTTTCAGCTCTGACTCTTCTAGTTGGAGTGGCTTTAAATCAACATGTTGTTATTATTTCCTCATAAACAGAAATATTCTTTATGGACTGTGTGATAGCTGTTTACAGGTGAAACAACCACTTGTATCGTGCTTCCTAGCAATCAGTATCTAGTTCAGCTCCTACAGACAGACAAGGCAATTTAAGAGGACTTTATAACACTAGTTCCAAGTTTCACTGATTCAAAGTGTTAAATCACCTTCCCAGAAGAGAGTTCCTGAACACAGAAGTGTCAGCTTTGTCACCTACCTCTGCAGCTACACACAACTCAAGGAAACAACACCACACTTTAGAAAAACAGAAATCTTGCATGGTTTAATTTTGAAGAATCCTACTCTCATGTTTAGTGTGGACTGTCCTTAGTACTGCAATTCACTTTTGTCTTTAGCCAGGACTAAGGTAGATTATAAATATAATAGAATTCCACACTAACCCTGCAAAGAACAGCCGACAGACAAACCTGCCACAGGCAGTTCAGAGAATCTGTAACTGTCTGTATAACAGACAAGTTGTTATACAACAAAATCTGATCATGCTGCCCAAACACATCGTGCCAGACCCCAAATGTGGTTGTTATTATAATTGTAGATGCTGGATGAACAGACCTTAACTTAGGAATTATGATCCCCATTACATACTTGAATTGTCTTTTGCATTAATTAATGTGAAGAATTAATAAAATATCTAATATGGTCTTTCTTGAGATTCCTCAAGGCTTTTCAGAATGACACAGTCAGCTTTATTGAATGTTGAATGAACTTCATCCCTCTTTAACCTTGCAGTGGAATTATGCTGGAAATGGAAACCAGTTACCTGTGATCAATGACTGTGACATCGGACGCAGGAATCCCCAGGACACAACAGCTCTGCTCCAGCTCTTTCTTACGGATCTCTCCTTGATTGTAATAATTTCCTGAAAACAGCAAACACAGCAACACCATCTTAGTTTAGGTTTGCTTGGAAAGAATTCCTCTCTTCTTTCTCACAGCATCAAACGTGACCATCTCACATTAAATAAAGGGGCCTCACTTCAGGAACAGACACTTTGCAGGGGACAAACCCAGGGAAACCTAACTGAGGCAGCTGGGAAAAGTTGTAACAGAGACCAACTACGAGCAGGGAAATGGGATTCATCATATTAAAACATTGCCTCCTTCTTCACTGAATTATTTTCTTCTCATCTTGCCCTGACATTCCCTTATTTTTTCTTGGCATCAGCCATGCAAAGTCCATGCCAGAGCTCTGATGCCCCTTCCAGAATGTTGCTCTATGCAGGGCAGTATTTGCAAACCAATTTTAACTTTGAGGCAATAAAATGAAAAAAAAAAAAAATTCCAGTTGAGTATTAATATGTGATTCAAGTCTGCAGTCAGCTGTCTTGAATTACACGAGAACTTTTTATTGTTGTGGGTGTGAGTCATCTAAATCTAGCATTTCTCTGGAGCAGTGTTGCAATCTGAGCCATCACTAGCAAGCTTTGTAAAATTTTCAAAGAGGGAAAGAGTAACTAGAAAAAAAAAAAACCAACTCTTCCTGCAGCCTGTGAGTGAATGGCTTTGGGAGACTGACTGAGTGTCTGTGGGTTTGCTGAGGAACACGTGAGCTCAGCACTGGGAACCTGGGATTGCAAGTTCCAGCTTCCAGAATGAATCAAAGTGCACCTTCACTAGGAGGATTGAATGAGTACAGCAGGATTTATGTCAGGCAGGTGTTGTACCAGGCCATTAAAAACAGGAGTGTTTTAAGGTACAGCTTTTGCTGCAATGCAGTGGAATAACTGACTGCAGGTGATGTTTTATCCAAATAGTGCCACTGCTCTCAAAATACCTGACTTCTACTGAACTCAGGGGAACAGTTCCACAGCTTGAGAAATGTGTCAGGACATCAGGAATATATAAATGCTAAGATGGGAAGCTATTGAGAGCAAAACCAGCTGAATAGCTGATGCTGCTGGACCTCATCCATGGAGCACTCACCATAGAGAGTCAGCTACTACAGAGAGCAAAGCACATTTATACTGAGTTATTAATTTAATCTAAGGTTATTCAGTGTGTAAAGACAGATTTTTTTCACAGTGCTGTAATTCTAATTCATTTCTAAGTAATTTTGATTGATATCTGAAAACTGCAAGTACAATGGTTTTTAAGTAATGATTTTGTCTCGGTGTTACAATTTGCAGAGTCTTTGATCAACTCACTTGTCATCATCAATCACACAAAGAATGAGAGGATGAACCATCTGAATCACCCAAAAGAGGCTTTTTAAGGAAAAATCTATTAGTTCATAAAGGTGCTCTCCTACATGGGCTGCTCATTCCCTCACAAAGACACGTGAGAGAGTCGACAGAAAGACACATCAAACACAATTAATGCTTCATGTCACTGAATCAGGAGTAAAGAAAAGAGAAAATTCAACAAAACCAACAGGAACACAACACTTCTTTGGGGAGTTCTCTAACAGCAGCAGTGTATGAGTGCCCAAAACCAAAATGGCAGAGTTGCACTTCAGTAATCTTCCCATAGCTGTGGAAAAGCCAAACGGGATCAACAGACCTTCATCCCTCAGCAGAAACAACAGAAAGCTTTGCACTAAACCTGGAATGGGAGGTGCAGAGTGATCAGTGAAGCCACCACACCACTGGATTCAACAACAGCTTAATCCCTGTCTTCTCACCTACATGGTCTGTCATGACAGAAAGCTTTGGAAACAACAGAGAAGCTGGAAGTGAACTGGCTGGAGCTTCCAAAGGGTAAGATGTGTTTGTAGCCCAAGATACTCATCTGAACAAACACAAAAAATGTTTTCACCGTGAATTTCACTCATGAATTCTGGTACAGCAATAAGGTCTCAAAGATCAGTGCAAATGGGATTGTTTCTTATGCACAAAACCCTAAACAATGGAATAACTGATCAGTTCTGCAGGAAAAAATCTGGAGCTTTAGCAGATCACGAGAAGAGCACATAAGTGTCACGTGCTGTGAAAAATTCTTGTCCTGGGCAGACAGTGGAGCCTGTAAGAATCTTTCCACTCTGTTCAGCCCCAGCAAGGCCTCAGCAGGAGTGTTGCTTCCAGTTTTTGATCACTGCCCCTCAAAAAAAAGATGTGAACCAACTGGAGGAGTCCAAAGGAGAATGATCAGAGGTTTAGAAAACATGATCTATGAGGAAAGATTGCAAGAAATCAGGTTGTCTAGTCTGGAGAAGATAAGGCAAAAAAGGCAGATAACAGTCTTAAAATGTGTAAGAGGCTGCTACAAAGGGACACTGCAATTTCCATGTTCTTGGCAGACAGCAAAAAAATAAACAAACAAGCTTAAATTACACCAATGACTCAGGAAAAAGGGATTTGAAGGGAAGCTGATGCAGCTCAGACAGAGACCCCACAGGCTGAGGGCGTTCAGGGGAACAAAGGTTTGTCTGCAGCACAGTCGGTGCTGCCTCCAGGTCACCTGAGGGACAACACGGCCCCATTCCCTTCCGGCCCATTGTTCCATGATGGGATTGTTATGCAATGGCTATTTTTAGGGGGGTTACAGGGAATGTATCATGATATTAAACCTGGATCATCCAAGTAGGTCCTCTGCAAGATGACAGAATTACAGGGAGATGGCAAAAGGCTGTGCCAGACAGCACCTTTTACAGCCCACTGATACATCCACAGGGTTTGAAAGTGCCTCAGCTCTGCCACAGGGGATGGACTGTGAAACCTCTGTGTAGATATTGAGGGGGATTTCGCTACTGCTGAAACCAGAGTCGTGGAATCATGGAATGGTTTGGGTTGGAAGGGACCTCTAAGATCATCTTGTTTCAACCCCCTGCAGAAAGTCACAGCACCCAACCACCCTCTGAGGGAAGAACCTTTTCCTAATATCCAACATAAACCTTTCCTAGTATCCAACATAAACATAAACCTGGTGCAGCTTCATGCTGTTCTCTCAGGTCCTGAATTCTTAAACTGGCCTTAAATTTGGTAAGACCTTTAGTAAATCCCATCTTTGCTGTGGATATTTCCACATACAGACAGGTGGGAAGAAAAAGTCTCACTTTGTAGAGGGCCGGTAATGAATGGAATCAATGCTGAAATGCACTCGGCAGTTCTGTGGTGAGGAACCAACCTAAAGCTTCCCTGGCACAGCTTCAGGCCATTCACAGAATCACAGAATCAATCAGGTTGGAAAAGATCTCTGAGATCAAGTCCAACCTTTGGCCAATCACCACCTTGTCCCCCATCCCAGAGCACTCAGGGCCACATCCTGTCCTTCCTTAAACACCTCCAGGGATGGTGACGCCACCAGCTCCCTGGGCATCCCATTCCAATATCTAATTATTCTGTGAAGAAATTCTTTCTAATGGCCAACCTAAATCTTCCCTGGCACAGAAAGACTGTGCCCTCTTGTCATGAGTAATGATCATGGATGGAGGAAGGAAGGATGAAAGAGGAATGGATGGAGAATCATAGAATGGTTTGGGTTGAAAGGGACCTTGAAGATCATCCAGTTCTATCCCCTGCTATGGGCAGGGGCACCTTCCACTATCGCAGGTTGCTCCAAGCCCCATCCAACCTGGCCTTGGACACTTCCAGGGATGAGGTAGCCACAACTTCCCGGGGCAGCCTATTCCAGTGGCTCACCACCCTCACAGGGAAGAATTTTTTCCTAATATCTGATCTAAACCTCTCGTCATTCGATTTGAACCCATTGCCCCTTGTCCTGTCACCACATGCTCTTGTAAAGGAAAGGGGCGGGAGGAGGGCGGGCACGGCCGCTCCGCGCCTCAGTTTCCCCACACCCGGTGTGGGGGGGTCCTTCCACCCCGCGATGCCACAGACGGTGGGGCGGAGGATGGGGAGGGGGAGCATCCCCGCGGGCTCCCCGTGCCGGGGGGTGTCCCCGCTCACCTGCGGAGCAGCAGAGCACGGCGGGGGCGGCCCCGGCCCTGCGCAGGCCGAGCAGGGCGGGGGCGAAGAACATCGACTCGTCATCAGGGTGCGCCGTCACCACGAGCGCGCGAACGCCCCGCGGGAGCGCGCGGGACCCCCCCGGGCGAGAGCGCGCTCGGCGCAGGCGGCGCGCGCCCCCGAAGAGGAGGAGGAGGAGCAGGAGCGGCACCGCGAGCAGCGCCAGCAGCGCCGCCGCTGCCATAGCGACCGCCCTTCGGGCCCGCCGCGCCGGCGGGAAACGGCGGCGACGGCACCAAGGTTCCGGCGCACGAAAGGGTCCCACTCCACACACACAGAGCCCCTCCCCTCCGGTCCCGCCCCGAGGCGGGGCCGCTCGGCCGTGGAAACGGGGCTCGGTTGTGCCACTCACGGCTCTGCTGTTCTAGGGCTGCTCGGGAAACGTGTCCTGGCCGTGCGGCTCCAGGGCTGTCCGAAAAACGGGCCCGGTTCCACCGCTCCCGGGGAAACGGGTCCAGGCTGTGCCGCTCCTGCGTTTCCCGGGAAACAGGCCTCGTCTGGGCTTCCTGGGCTTCCCAGGAAACAGACCCCGGCACTGCCACTCCAGGGGAAATGTGTCCCAGCTGTGCCGCTCCAGGGCGGCCAGGCAGGAGCGGGACCTGCCCTGGCCCGGTCCCAGCCGGGGCGGTGTACGGGGGCTGTTTCCGTGGGGAGGTCGGCGGGGAAAGGCGTCACTGCCCTGACCATGCTGGTACGGCCAGAGTGACTAATGGTGACTAAAGTTGGACTTTTCAGCTGTAGTACCTTTTATCGCTGCTGTGGAAGAGCCGTGGGTTAAGGGGAAGCTCAAAAGCAGGGCAGGAGGAGCTTATCTTCAGGCTCGTCGTGCTGTCTGCAGGTCTGTGGGCTATTCCGACTGGAAAACGTTCGGATATGGCTTAGAAGTGAAGGCAAGCACTGGAGAAGGCTGCAGAGCAGGAGGAGACAGGAAGTGTTAAAATAAACATGAAAAGGGCAATCGGATGCAATTGGAAACTTTGCTTTTCCAGGCAAACAGGCAACATGGAAGACAAGTGTCCGGAGCAATGGTGGAGTGTGGGAGCTGGGCGGGTTAAAGCATAAATGGTGAAAATAATTCAGAGTTCAGTGTCTGAGGAGCAGCTCAGACCTCAGCAGGTGTGTGTCTGACTGGTCTTCACGGACTCTTATTTGGGCACCTTTAACTTCCAAGTGAACGGAGGGAGTCTCTGGCTTATGCTGGGATTGGAGACTGCAAACAACAGCCTGGAGATGGGCCATGTCACCTTAACTTGGCACTTTAACCACTGTGGTAACACAGTCCTTAGTGCAACACGTGTTTCAGAGGGATCCCCGTGTGCCACAGGCTGAGCCCCTGCTTTAATAATGGTGTGGGCACCCATCCTGCTTCTCATATTTAATGGCAATTGTGACAACGTGATAATTTTGCCTAATGGTATGTTTTTTCCCATGGTAAATCCGAATAGTGACTTATTTGTGATTTTAGCACATTCTGAGATACGCATTTGTAGGTAAGACACAGTGCAGAAACTCTTTACTGAGGATGCAGGGAACGAGTTACACACTCTTCATTCTGGGGTAGGAATAAACGGACATTTAATGAGATTTGAACCTTTCTCACATGTTTCGGAAGTCATTCGTCGCCAGAGCAGGGGCGCGACCTCAGGGACAGCGCGGGAGGCTGTGGCGGAACCGGGCGATGCTCCGGGCCCGGGACGGGCTCCTGAGGGCGCATTCATGGGCACGGGGCCCGTTATAGTTTATTATCGATTTATATAGTGGCACAGCGGGGCGCTACGGCTCCCGCCCCGCGGCCGGTCCGTGGAGCCCCTCACGGGCCGGGCCCCGCTCGCCTCATGGCGGCCGCGCCCCCCCCGGCCCCTCAGAGCGGGGGGGCAGCCCCGCCCCGCCGCACCGGCCCGCGGTCCTGGAAGGGGCATAGCACCCCGTCCTCTCACCGCCGCGCTCCGTGGTGACTTTTCTCAGCCTGTCGCTTCCTGTGCACCGCCACACACCGGCGCGACGGGAGGAAAGGGGGGACCCGCCGCGGCCGGTGAAAGGCACCGGGCGGCGGCGCCGCGGTTTGTTTGGTACCTGCCAGGACCCGGCGGGAGGGGGCGGAGCGCGCGGGGCCGGGGGAGGGGAGGCAAGATGGCGGCGGCGGCGGCGCTGAGGGTGAGGTGAGATCGCCGCGCCCGCCCAGCCCCGCCGGGACCCGCCGACACCCGCCGCCCGGGCCGCCCCTGCGCCGCGCCTCGGTAAGCGCGGGGGGCCCAGCGGGGCGGCGCGGGGGGCAGCGGGCCGGGCGGCTCCACTGCGAGCAGCAGGAGGAGGAGGAGGTGGAGGAGGGGGAAGAGGCGGGGGCCCGGCCATCCCGTCCTCCTCACGGGCAGCGCTGTGGTCCCCGGGGGGAGCGCGCTGGGGCCGGAGGGGGCCGTGAGGGAGCGGCCGGAGGTGTGAGGGGTGGGCGGGTCAGGGCCGCGGTGCCCGCGGGGGTTTCCCCCCATTGAGGCGGTGGGAGCGCGGGGAGGCCCCGGGGGGGACGCGGGGCACGGAGGGGCGGCCCCGGCGGGGGAATTCTTGGAGAAATCCCGGAGCGTCGGTGGTGCTGGGTGTGCATCCTTGCGCTGTGCGGGGAGGAGGAGTGCGAGTTAAAAAAAAAACAAATTAAAAAAAATTTTTAAAAAGGGTCAGTTCTTCAAAAGCGGCCCCTCGGAGCGCGCTGGTTCCCGAGGATGTGCTGCGGCCACAGCTCCGTGTCCGGGGAGCATCGCGGCCGCTGTCAGTGCTGGGGAGTTGTTGCTGATGCTGACGCTGAATTATTCATATGGGACCTGTAAACATCCCCGGCTTCTGTCATCTCCGGGCTGCTGCGGGGCACAATGGAAGTGGCTTTTTGCTAGAATTGGTCTGACTTGATGGTAAAGAACTTGCTGATTTTTTCCTGTACGTAACAAACCTGTGGGTATCAAGTTGGTTGCAATTAGACCAGGTTCTAGATGGATGGATGAGCTGTCAGTGTTGGGCTCAAGTGAGATAGTCTGAACAATCTGTTGTTGTCCAAAACCTGCTTCTTCATGTTTCACAGATATGGTCTTAAGAAGTGTGTTTCCTTTTCATGGCTCTAAATATTGGTGTAACCTAACACAACTTATTACAGTGGGGATGTCTAGTCCTGAAGACTTGGTTTTGTGGATGCATTAATTTTAGGTATGGCACTGTGATTATGAACTGTTAGAGCTCAGATGGGGATATTTATCCTATACAGCATGATTTGAGAGGGAGAAAATAGTGCTGTTATAAGAAAAACATTACTGTTGTGATAAGTGGGATGATCATGGGCACAGTGTAAGTGCCTGGATAAGTGGACACAGTTATGCCACTGCACACGAGGACTGTGCAGATCTGTTGCAGTTTTGCACTGGAATTTTATCCTGCAGAATGTTGTTATTCCTGATTAACTAAACAACCTTGATATTTGGAAAGGAAGTCTGTGATATTCCAAGTGAATCTCTAGTTAGCTGAAATCTGGTGTCTCGCATTGGGGGATGAAAGCCTTTCGTGCTTATCCCAAGAATTCAGAAGTTCAGGGGAAACAAGCCAACAGCAGGGACCCTTTTTGCCAAAGCAGGGTTAATTTTTTTCTTGATGTGGCTTTTCTTTGTGATATAGGATATAGGCTGCCGAGGAAGAAAAGTTATGTTGTGATTTATGTGCAGTATAATTTGCCTATTTGAAACATGCTCTTTGATACTGGTCGCTAAAATAACTCAATTTATTGCTGAAACATGGGAAAGAGCAGTATTTTGGAATCTTTTTTCCTAGAGTTACCATGAGCATTTTTTAACATGTGGAGAGGATGTTATGAGTGTTTGCTTCCACAAGTGTTATTTCTCTTTAGCTTGTTAATCATTGCATGAATCAATTAAAGTAACTCCTCAGACTGAAATTATAAACACAGAGTCAGAGTATATTCACTTTTCTACGTTGTGCTGCTGCTGTTTTATTTTAAATACAGTTTGTCTCCTACAACCACTCATTTTAGTTGCTTCTTCTGTGCAGACACGTTTTTCACTGTGATCGAAAAGGATCTGCAAAGTGCTCTCAGAAAGTGGGGTGAAAGTAGGAACAGACCCTAAAGCTCCTTTCAGTTTCCCCCCTCGAGTGCCTTCCCCAGTTCTTGTGCCTCTCTAACTTCATCTTTAGAGTGATTTCATTTCTCAGTTACAGAATGAATGAGGGATGCTCACAGGGAGGGAAAGCTGCCTCTGCTTGTGCTACTGTTAAATGCATGAAAGCAACTGGAAATCATCTCCTGAACAATATTTTCTATTTTTTTTCTGTATTACAATCTTAATATTGGCATTTAATTTACTCATTCGAGGCTCGCAGCCAAAGTTTTGGTGAAATGTCTTATTCCTCCTTTATAATTGCCTACAAAATGATTTGAATGAAGGTTTTCTTGCAGGATTGAAAATATTATTTGGAGTTCCAGTGTGTGTAGCTACTTACATTTAGGATTTTAACAATTGTTGGAGCTGGAAGGCATCTGTTCCTCATGCAGGTGCAGGGCAACACAGAACCATCTTGAGAACAGACTTGTAACCAGACAGTGGTTTCATAATGCAAACAACTGTTTCCTGGATGCCACTCCTGAACTCTTCAAGTCATTTGTGTTTTTTAGTTAAATCTGAATCAGTGTTTTGGATGTCAGGTTGTTAACTGGCTGTGGTACCTTCCCCCTCAACTGGCCCAGAGGAAATTTGTGACCTGTGCAGGACCGCTGGCTGTAAATATTTACTTTGTGCTATTTCTAAATTATGCAAATAGCCAGGGGCGTGCTGAATGTGTCTTCCATTTCAGTGTCTCTCTCCTTCAACCATTCTCCATCTAGTAATGGTTTTTGGTGAGGTTCCCTTTCCCTTCTGTGCTGGTTCAGTGCTTACCCACCATCTTTTAAATCACTGCCACAGCCTGGGCCTGCTGGGGCTCAGTCTTACCTTGGGCTATGTTTCTTCCCAGTATCCTAAGGGAGATTCCTATATCCTTGCACAGCTCCAGAGCTAATCCACTCTGTAATGTTGCCACTCCCAGACTGATTTGATAGGCAGTTTTTTTCTTCATGCTCTAGGAAGATGTTGGTCTCTGTGGTTTTGATGTCAGTGACTTCACCTGCTTATGATTGCAAAGGTTATTGCAAAATTAAGATACTGTGTTGGTACAAAGATGCATCAGCCAACTCTGAAAAATCTTGTTGTTCATAACTTTCAGCAGTAGAAAACTTAGAAATGAATTTTTTATGCAAACAGATTACCTGGACAAACTGTTGACCAGGACTTGAAAATTCTGTGCATGTTGAGTGACTACTCATGGGTAAAACTGAAAATGAAAATACAGCACAGTGATGGGAGGGAAAGAACACCTAAAAATGAACAAAGATGAGGTTAAGTATAAAATATGCTCAAACTAATATGATGTTTCTTTAAAGCCTCCCTTTGTGCTTTGTGCTGTGCTGCAGGGAAGGAGCATTTGGGTAATTCTTTTTCACATCCTCATGATGTCAGAGGACTCTTGTCCCATCCAGAGCTGGAAACAGCCACAGCATTCCCTGCTCCATGTAAAACCTCAACTGGGCTTCCTGGGCAGAACCCGGGGCTGTTTGAAAAGCAAATGCTCTCCTGAATGGATTAAAATACATGCAGGTTTCAAGGAACACGTCTAACAAATGTGAATATCAATCAGATTCCTGTCCTGTTTGTCAATGGGAGAGAGTTAAGCACACGTAAGTTCATGACAAGTTCAAGTGCTGCTCAGCGAACCAGACAGGTGTATTGTTACAGCCAGCTGCACCCTTCACCTCATTAATGGTATTTTGGGGAAAGAAAAAAGAAGGTGAATTAGTTTAAATAAAAAAATTGTATGTGCACTGTAGAGTTTTGTCTCAGGTTCACGTTTTTCAGCTTTTCCTCTGTTTTTATG